TTGTATTTCCATGCTCTAGCAGGATTCCACAAAGAAAGGCAACTACTACCTGCTCTGCAATTTGATTACTTAATTCCTTCCTATTACTATCTGAAGCATCCATGCCAGGAAACCTCACCACAGGCTACATATCTATTTCTGTGAAAATGGGCAAGGACTGAAATGCTAAACCATCAGGAGTCCAGCACCACAGCTGGTCCAAAGCATCTACTACTGCCTTCTCCTAAGCTGCCCATCCCTTCTTGGTCAGGATGGGCTCTACCACACATGCTGGAAAACCATCCTAAGAGGCGCTAAACACCAACCCATCCTTCCTCAAGCTGCTTAAACAGGACTACCATGAAATGCATGGATGCAGATTGCATCCACACAGGGTGGCTGGCGCTCCTTAGGGCAGCTGCTGTGGGTTCCCCTTCCTGCTCCCCATGGCACTTGCATGCAGCAGGTTGTCTGAGGTTGCCATAGAAACAACGCTTAATGGCAGACGGGTGCCAGGATAAGGAAGCAGATAATCAGCAAGAGGGACAGAAGTAGGCCCGCTGATATTCACATCCCTGTATCTGTCATTAGAGTCCCTGAGAAATGATAGATATATTAATTTGAGCGTAGATGATCACTTTCTTCTCCCAGCTCCCACTCTCCACATCCCTGGCTCCCGCCAGGTTAAAGCAGGGCAGGTAAGAGGGCGCTTGGCTGTTGCTGTGACAACAGCTGAAGATGCTTCCCTGGGAGGCTGGACCACAAAGCAGGAGCTCGCGGTCCACAGCAATCCTGGGATGGAAAGGGGGAATAACAAACCCCGGAATCATTGCTTCCCTGAACACTGCAAAGAGGGAGAAACATGGCAGCTGTTGATCCCGAAGAGCTGTGGATAAGAGGGCCAGGATGGGATGCACCACCAGCATGGGATGCTGCTGCAGAAATGGGGTGCAGCTGGAGGATGCTTTTGCTTCTCTGGATTAAACCTATGGGGTGGTTTTGGGCAGGGGTGCCTGGCATTTCCATTCTGAGGCTGAGTGGTCCTATCACCCCCTGCCTCCTTTTCCTCCATCCTCCTCTCCATGTGCATCCCAAGAAGACCAAGCGGCAGGTGAACAATAAGCCAGTCCTCTCCATTGCAGAGGCTGACGGAACGACTCCTCGTTGGCACAAGGCAGGATCGCGCGTGCGGGAGAGCCCCGCTCCCCTCCTCGGCAGCTGTTTGCTGGCTTGCACAGCCGCAGCTTTCCGTCGCTTCTGACAAATTAATATTTGAAGCGGTTGTTTCTTTTATGTGGGCTTTACTGTCATTAGCACGTACGGCTCGACATAAAACACTTTAGCGCAAGAGCTTTTCTTCCCTTCTCTTTTTAGGCAGCAGATGAAAATCCTTTTAATAAAAAGCTTGTTTAGGGGAGGAAGAAAAACACACGCATACACAGATCGGCTGAGCAGGGAAAGATGAAAACCTCCTTCAAGGTAATTAAATGATTATGTATCTTTTAAACCCAGCAGATAGCAGATTTGTTATCTAGGCTTGCTTTTTTTGCTTTTTCTTTTCTTTTTTCTTTTTTTTTTTCCTCTTTTCTCCACATAAAGCTAAAATCCTTGCAAGGCCCAGAACAAGATAGTGTTCATCTTACAGAAGATGACGGCACAAAAGAAGACTTAATCATTTATCCCATCAACTCAAGGAGGTTTCCCCAGCTTTACAGCCTTTACAAGCCCAGTCTTGTACAGATGTCTGTGAAACACTGACATGGGAACCTCCGCTCCAGATCAGAGCAGATCTGCATGGAGACAGGGGCGGACAAGGTTTATTGGGTAAGAGGAAGGATGGATCTATGTCTGCTGCTGCTTCAGAGCCCACAGATCCATTGGCTTACACCTCTGTGCCTCAGTTTCCCTCCACAACTTGTTGACTGTCTTTCCCATTTAAGTGGGAAAATGGGTGAGACTGTGTCAGGAGTAGTAGTAAGTGAGAGGCACTTTCACCAGGTGCTAGTTTTCAAGGCAATGCTTTGCAGTACAACACTGATCCTGCACCATGACTTTAACAGCATTAACACAGCACAAAATGTCAAATTGAGGAAAACAGAAGCATAACCCTTCCTTCTTCAAGACTGAAATTCCCTCCACTTTTGCGATGAGCTCTTTCTGGAGCAGGAATAAAGAAAAAAAAACCTTCCCCCAGAAACACATTTTAGTATTAAAATATCTTTTTTCTTTTTCCTTTCCAACCTCAGTGGCAGTAATATCAACTCCCCATTTATAAAGCAAAAAAAAAGTCACTCAGTGCATTTCAAGCTAGTAGACTTGGTTTTCAGAAAACTGATGTAAAGGGAAATTATACGTCAAAGTGAAGTATTTCTGCCGCAAATCATCCGACGATGTCGTCAACCTTATTTGATTGAGTTCAACGCTATAATCATAAATACTCTTGTTTCGTGACCATGCTGGAGTTCATAACTAGGAGAAAGCATGGGCTTTCCCTCTAGGCTCCAAAGCTAGTTATGGACAGGGCTGATTCACCAAGCACCTGACAAGCGACAAGCAACAAAGTCCTGGCTCCTTGTCAACTGTGAGTATTTATGCGTGTAATTCACATGGCCCATCACCAGTTTAACGAGAGATACTAGGGAGGGGGTCCACCAGGTCCTGAGTAAGCTCCAAGATTTAAATTTCACACTGCAGCCAAACAGCTTTCCCCCTTCCCCACAGCTAGTGCCTGGAATAAATTTTCCACTGCCCTTCAGACTGGAAGGGATGGGACTTTTCTGTCCTTTCTTGATTTTCAGTTTAGATATACAGGATGGCATAAGGACATCTGCATCAGCACAGACCATCAACACAGCATATCATTAGGCCATCAGCGCAGGGCTAGCTCATTGCAAGTATCCCCTATGTGAATCAATGTGCACTATATGGTAGATTACAAGCTATATATATACACACACATATATATATATACAAAGCCTTTTGAGCAGCGTGCTTCATCTCCAAGTCCTTCCACCTCTGCCGCTGGATTGCTCTTGAACTCTGCCCTGTGCCTGGCATTAATCACAAACTCATAACACAAGAGAACAAGTAAACAAACCCAAGTTGCTCTCAGACCACATGAAGAAGACAGAAAAGGGGCAGATGAGCCCAAAAGAATCCAGAAACTTGTGAGACGAGCTAAGGAAACAAAAGAACCAGAAATACAAGTAAACACAAGCCTGCCTTCAGTGTGCCCCAGGCTGGTCCAGATGGGATGAGAAACAGTTCAGGCAACCTGGAGAGTTGGAAGCCTCTGCCCACATGAAGGCAAAATGTTCTACAGGCAGAGAAAAAAACACCTGGAAGTGAGTGGATCAGCAGAGATATGGTGAAGGCCAGTGTGTGCAGGAAGGGAAAACACCTGACACGTCAGCTGTGATGATGAAAGAGGGAGGGAGTTTCTGGCACTGGTCCATATGACAGTATCACCAGTATTTGTTTGTTTGGCAAGGATTCTCTTGGTACAATCAGACCAGAGGATCCTGGATGTTGTCCATGCTAATTTGTTCAGCAGTCTCACTAAAGGGCTACAAATAGGATGGTCCAACCGTTCTATGCTGGTAGAACAGTTTCCCTCAGTAGCCCCTCGAGCCTTATTGATTTAGCAGATACCTAGATACATAGGGAAGAAGGGATGGGAATTGTGGCAATGCATGCTGTGGTTTCATGTGGCAGAAATGAGACCTGTCAGAGTAGAAACATCTAGTAGAGGAGATGAATGATGACAGCATCGCATGGCAGAACTGCCCCACTGCCCACTGCACCCTTGTGCAGCATCCCAGCACCTGCGCTAGAGGTTGAGATCCCTCCTGTTCTCACCGTGCAAGACACACAGGCCTGTGACCATCATGGATGGCCAAAATCTGACTCCTGCTGCCCCTTACCCTGGTGGAAAAGGCTTATAAGAAGCACCGAGCCACAGACTGGGTGTTGCACCACTTTCTGGCTGAGCAGAAGGTATCAGACACATCCACTCTCCAAGTTCTCAGCCAACTTTCCAGCAGCCTAGCAGCAAATGTTGCATACTGGGAGACCAAGACCTGGCAGCTTCCATACCTATGAATATTTACGGTCTCTCCCATTTTCACTGCAGTTCCAAATGTCTGCGCCAGGACTTAAACTTTCAGCCAGCAGATATGTTAAAGAAGAACTGAGAGGAGGAGTGGAGCCACTACAGATCTGCCATTCAGGCCAGCAAATTAGCTTGCCTGGGGCATAGGTAGGGGGAACAGCTCAGAGACACCAGATGCAGAAGGGAATGGAGGGTATTTCAGCCTCCAAACGAGGACAAAATGCAGCACACGTAGACTAAGATTTCGATAGCCACCTCTGCGCCTGGTGGTTCAGGAGACATCAGATCTCTTAATGGGTACTGGTCCCTCGGGCCAGGCAAACAACAAGACATCTCAGGTCATTTAGGAGACAGGCCAGAATGCTTTCAGACCATTCCTGACCAGGAAGTAATTAAGTGGCTTCCTATTTGTATTCTCCTGAGCTCCACTTGTCTGCAAAAGCTCGTTAGTTACAAGTCAGACAGAGAGGTTGCAATGCAGCAGCCAGCTCCATATTAAGCCCCAAGGCCCAGTTCAGCCTTAGCTTAGAGACTGGCGACAAGCATTTCTCAGACCTCAGCTGGAGGAATTTTGATGGACATTAGGCCCAAAACTCACAAAGTCACTCAGGTGCTTGAACTACTGTCAAAATACATTGTCACTGTGGACCTGGCCCCAGATCCTCCCCTGATTTTAGCAGCCTGTAGTATGTGCAAGATACACAAGAAGATCACAAGATGAAATCTCTTTTCATGCTCTCCCAGACGATACACACTCCCTACACTGTCTTATATTCAGATGAAAGCCACCAAGCCCTCTATTCCCAAGTCTGACAGCACATGATATATACTGGTGGCACCTGCTCTGCCATGCAGGACCTAAGCCATAGAGGGTCTCCAAAATGCTCTGAGATGCCAGCCATGTGCTTACCTCTGGCAGCTTGACTCGTCCTTCCTGGAAGGAGCAGGAGCTGGGGTCGTGAGTGCAGACGTGGCGGTATTTGCACCAGTGGCACCTGTAGGGGCTCTCTACACATGACAAGCACCTGGAGATGGAGAGAAAAGAGCAGGTCACTTGGGCAGCCTGGACACCTGAGCCAAAAGAACAGATCTTGCGGATGATGGAGGTTCTTACAGGGAAATGTAACCCAACAAATACTGGACCATCACCAGCAGAAGACTGTGGGCTTTGCACTGATTCATCACCACAGGGTCTCCATCTGTTTGGCCTGTTGGCCTCCTGCCCACCCAATGGAGCTCAGCACTGAAGCATCCTCAGGGCCAAGGGCTATTGCCTTTTTTTTTTTTTTTTTTAAACTGCCTATAGCAAGCTTCTGAGTGAAACAAAAGGCCAGGGGATTGATGGAAACTCCTACAGCCTCACTGCCTCATGACTGAACTGTTCTTGTGCTCTGGCAGCTGCAAACACATCATGTAAAGATGGTCAAGGCAAAGGGTCACCAGGTGGAGCGGTGCCCATGGAGAGCAGGGCAGGAAGCCTGTGTACAACACATCCCATCTGGGCAGTGGAGAGTTGCAACCTCTGGAGAGCTGCAAACACCTCTCCTCGATAGGTTACAGCACTGACTTATACCTTCATCACATATCTTTTATGTTATATGATGTCTGTTCACTGGGAACCAAACTGAGCCATTACAAGCTCTTTGCACAAAACAAGTGTTGAATGGTAGTAACTCCTAATCGCTCACACTGCCAGGGAGCTCCATACTGCTGCACACTCAGTGGAGAGGATTTGGGGAGTGGATTTTATTTGGCCCTTATAGGATGCTATTTTTGTTTATTTGTTTTGTTTTTGAAACGGGCAGGAGTGAAGAAATTGCATCTGGTCTAGCTTGGCTGAGCCCAACAGACAGACACACACCCTCTCCTGCGTCTCTCTGTGAAAACTCTCTCAGTTCCAATCCTCTTTCAGCTCTGGTATAGCGAGCTGTTCTTCAAATTGGTAACAAGTGCTTGCTCTGATACATCAAATTAAAAATGGATAGTGTATTATAGTTTGTCAAGTAAGAAACCAAAACATGCCATAAATATTTAACACTACCATCTCTCCCGCTCTCTCTCCATAACACTTGCTTTCTGACACTGTTTGTCAAAGCAGCATGAACACGGAAATAGGATTTGCTTTTCTTTGTGAATTGCTGAGCCACAGTAATTATCTCCTTTTGGCACTTCCGGAGGGCTGTGTGGGGAAGCTGACAGTTCTGTGGTGAGGACACAGATACTCAGCCTTGCACAGGGGTGGCTCAACGCTCTGGAAGAGCCTTCCTGCCTTGGCAGGCTCGCTCTGATGGGGAGGTTGGGGTGCAGTGCAGAAAAGGAGCTCCCAGGAGGAGGAGATGGTCACAAGCAAATCAGCTGGGTTTTCCCTGTTCAGAGATTACCTCACACAATAAACCCAACAATCCTGACTTTCCAGGCTTGAGGGCCCAGGTACATATTAAATACCTTGGGCAGTCTCCTACTAGTGGCAGTGACAGCACGGATTGGTGGTGCATTTGTGTGGTCAGAATCCAGTATTCTAAGAACTATTGCTTAATAGCAAGATGAAGAGGTCATTCGCTAAGGTCCTGATTCAAATGGGTGAAATATACTGCTCTTAGTCTTCCCAGGAGAGACCTGCAGTGTCCACTACCACCCAAGGGATCTTGACATGTGGCCTCCTCCACACCTAACTAGCTGCTTGGAAGACACCTGCTTTAGCAGCGGCTTCTGTGGCAGATCAAGGGTTGGGATGGAAAGCAGGTATCAGAGGAAATGAACATACGAGTTGTGGACACTGCAGTTGTAGAAGACGAAGCTGGTGCTGGCAAAAGTCATACCCGTTTCCTTGGACTTAAGCTGGAGCTGGACAATGTGATGGTCTCCTGGAAAAAATAAATCAATAAAATAACATTACATGCATCAGAGTGGCAGTCCTTGTTAGCCCAGTTAGGTGCCATGAGGCCATGACCTCAGTCTATACGGGGTGCTGACGCATGGTATCTTGCCTAGCCTGTCTTCTACAGCTGTAGGATACAAATAAGACTCTTAAGGACAATTTTCCAACACAAAGCATGTCTTTTTCATGAACCTGGAGTGATGGAATAGGTCTTCGTCATTGGAAATTCTCCTCTCTGGGAGCAGATTCTGGTCTTGGTGATGCCAACAGGTCTTAAACATTCCTTAATAAGTTCAAAAGTATGTTAAATTAAGTTGGCAAGTAGGAGAACTGATCTCAAAGATAGGAGAAGACACCCGGATCAAGGAAGCCATTAAAATGGAGTACTTTCCCTGTAGATTTTCATTGCAGTAGATTCCTTTGTTGTCCCCAGAAGGAAGGGGAGACTTCTGGGCCTGAGCATTGATGTCCTATGCATACATGGCCTGCCAGAGAAACGTACTCACTTCCCTAAGGAGAGACAAGGGAGTACGGAAAGATTTACTCTCGTTACCCTCTTTACTATATCATCTTTAAATATAGACCAATAACCAGGACAAGCATGCGTGGAGAAACTCACTTCCGTACCTTGCCTCCGAAGAGAGGTGACCCCTTGAGAAAAGCAGGATGAAGAATGTTCAAGCAAGGAAGTTCCCTTGGATAAATACCATCACAAGGAGTATAAGGTAAGGCAAAATACTGATGAACAGGGAGATTCCCATGTGAACTGTTCCTCTTGGTAAGGGCATACTCACCTTGGCTTTCAGGTACAAACAATCCAGCTCAATATTAGATATTCACAAGTCATTTCCCAAACAGAGGGATGTTTCTATTTACCTAAAAGACCCATCCACAGCAAAACTTCTTCCTCAGCTCCTACACATTTTCTCTTTATTCTCCCCATGTCTCTATCCCATTCTGGGCAGTTAACAATCATCTCTTCCCTCAGTGCCAAAGGCCTTATTCAGACCCCCAAAGCCAACTGCCTGTGGGTAGTAACAGGGTGAATTAATTGCAGTAATTTGTTGAGGAAGGAATCTATGTTTAATTCAACGCTTTGGCCTGGTTGGCCCTTTCACCTCTATTATTTTCCTCCTCACCTGAAAGATTCATTAATCAATCAGGCCAAAGCAAACTTGACAACTCATCTCATCATGCACCCACGTGCACACCCACCTATCTACAAGCACACACATACGCATGAACACATACTCATGCACCACCACATGCACTTGACTAAACACATTTTGCTGCCAGTGCTCGACTCTGCTGCCCATCTGCTGCCGCCGGCTTTGACAGCTCTGTTAACTGCTTCGTATTTAACAACTTTGCCAACATCTTGTGTATATTTTAAAACAGAATCTGAGGACTGGATGGTTCTGGGTATCAGACATGCTACAGAGCCACACATCCTTTGGCTCAGATCCAGCCTCTGGCACTTTGCATGGAGGACTTGGTCTTTGCAGAGGTGCAGAGCACCAGCTGCTGACGTTGAGACAGGCCACAGGTGCACCATTTCTTTGGAGACCTTGTTCCATGTAAATCTCTCCCTTCCTTCCTTGTCCTTCCTTCAGCTTCCATCACTATTTTTATTCTCTGGCCATTTACATCGCTGCCCTGGATAGATGTCCACACCAAATAAATGATTCCTGGCTTCTAGCTTGGTAGGTAAGTGTAACTTATGACTCAAGGAGCCCTGATGATGGTAGCAACCTTTTGAGTGCTTAGATGCATTTTCCTACTCTGGGACAGTAACAGAAAGCACTTGTGCTGTTGTGTGTGACTGGGGGAGAGCAGAGAGACAGTGCTGGCAATTTATGTCACTAGTGGCCTGAGAGGGTCATCAGTGCCAACCTTTATAGCAAAAATCCACAAGAAGACAAGGACAAAATGGCATCTTCTCTGTGCCTCTTGTAGCAATCAACAACGTTGATGTCTTTATAGCAAGTCCCTGCAGAGAGCCTCAAATGCAAAAGTACTTAGAAAAGGGAAGCAAAAAGGAGGGGACAATCAGCCCATTCCTGAGACATGGTATTTCTATCTTGAACCATGCCAGGAGGGAGCCAGTAGCAGCCTGGGGACAGCTGATGGGAGTAAAGATGTGGGACAGAGACAAGAAACTGAGCATGCAAATCTACAGCTGGGAGGAGCAGGATGAATTACAGGTGGGATCACTGAGACCTGCAGTACTCCTTGGCTTCTACAGGATGGGATATATGGGACATATCGAGAACATTTACAGTCTGATTCCTTGGCATAGCCACAGCTTGGGCCAAATACTTCTGAAGTCATTGCACTGGTCTCATGTCTTCACTAGGTATATGCAATTGCCACTCACTGGTAGTCTGAAAGCACATACCGCTGCACACATACGCACCTTAAAGCAGGTACTGATGTCCCAGCTCACTGCGGGCACAAGTGTGAACACATTCATGCACAAACACACTCTCAGTATACACACGCTACGGTGCACCACTGTGTCACTCCACCAGCGAGCACCAACACAGCATTCCACCACCCTCTGAGCTTTATACCAAGGCTCCCAGAGTTGGTAAGCCCAACTCTGCTCCTAGAGCTAATGGCAGCTGACACACATGGAAGTGGGGTGAGGAAGGGAGAAAAAAATGATGCAAATGGAGGAGCTATGAGATACCCACCATTTTCTGTGATGATCTGGGGCACCTCTTTGGCAGCTGGTGAGATGCACTGGATCTGACTGCCCACCACCAAACCATCCATCTCTGACAGGTCCTCGAAGGTGCAGTTAACTCCTGCTGACAGCTCAGGGACATTGTAGGTCTCCAAGACAAGCTGCAAACAAAGATGGAAGGAGGGAAGAAGAAAGAAAAAGAAAGAAAGAAAGAAAGAAAAAAGAATATGGAGCTGAACAACAGAGCTGAGCAAGCAGGAGAGAATTATACTGGAGAGGTTGGACAAAGAGCCTCTTGCTAGACAGAGCATCCTCCTTCAACAGAAAGCAGCGATTCAGGAGGGGGATGTATGCATGGAGTGGAAAGGAGATGAAATGCTGATGCCAACACAAGTGGTATGTGGCTATGCAGGAGCAACTGCACTGTGCCCCAGTGCTGGCTGGGTCAGTGGAGGGGAAGGAGTGCTCATTATCTGTCATGCAAGTGTAAGGTTAGACAGGAACTCTTTGGCTGTGAAGACCAGGGCTTTGCTGGCCCCAGGGCACGCGGTTTCTGAGGAAGGTGACTGCTACTCACAAGAGGCACTCTGCAGACTACAGAGAAACTGTAGCGCTCCAGTCTAACTCTCTATGGCCTGCTCTCCTAGTATCAGCAGATGGGGGGGAGCACTCTGCCACCAAGTTCCTGCATAAGGAGAGTCTAGTTACAGCCTTGGGTCCACCACACAAAACCTCTCTCTCTAGAGGCACAGCAAAATCACTGCCCATCCCACCGAGGAAGTAGTTGGCCCTGGTGATGTGCTCTACTGGGGCATCACAAATTAAAACAAACAACAAATCTGTGAAAGAGGAATTCCTGGTGATTTCTAACAATTTCAGAGTTCACAACCCTCACCAGTTTGACCATGTCATTACCCATGGTCATTACAGAAATGAAAAACATGGCTGGTTTCTGTCATATACATGTTCTAGCCAAGGGCCTTCATGCTGCTGTCTTTTCAAAACAGCTGCTGATGACCTAGTAGTATAAAGTTAGCGTTATTGTAACCAAACACTAGAGCAAGTCACTGGAGGCAGGCACAAACATGGATGTTTTCCACATTTGCCTATTACATGAGCTAGTTGAGGCCCCATCTGAGGTGACAGCCACTGAAAGGAGACACAACGCATGCTGAAGTGTTGAGTCTATCAGCATAAAAACAGGGGAGGTCAGGCCAGGTGCTAAAGCAGGGGATAATGGGTAACATAGCTCTTGTTTATTGCTTCTCCAAGTGTTTTTTTCTCACTTGGAGAAGACTTGGGGGCTATATCTCAATGTCAGGAACTACAAGGGAGAAAGGCTCAGCAGATGGGTCTTCTCCCTGACTGACATAAAGCCCTTGCATGAGTACGTTCATTTCCTGGCAAGGGGGATAGCAATGGGAAAGAAACTGAACTGATTTTGCATTTAGGGAGTTCAAAAGTCTCCTTTCAAATGGTTGCCTCTGCTTTGCATCTCTATGCTCATGAATACATTGTCAGCAGTGGAGAAGTGGAAAGCATTCTCCTTGACAAATCTCTTTCTTTGAGCACAGCAAATGAAGAATATAGGTGTGCCATGCTGAGGATGAGGCCAACATATGGACTGGTAGAGCTTGGCAATGAACATCATGAGCCAATGCTCACCCTGAGCAGATATGAAGTCTTGTATTCCCCTTGCCTGCTCTGGAGCTGCTGCAGTGATGGAAGAGTTTTCCCCTACCAAACATCTCTTCTCAGAGATCTCAGAGTAGTAATCCTAGACTGAAACAGTCTCAGACACAGCTTTCCAAGTCTGTGTCAGTGTCCAAAGCTTAAAGGCCCAGGTGGCTACACAGATAACTTCTCTGCCTCTATAGGTAAGAATTTTGATATTGTTGTTCCTCAGCCAGAACCCATGTGAGAACCCATTAGGACACCACTAGCCATTCCATCACTGGTGCTCTCCTTTTGGTTTGCCAAGAATCTAGCTGCATGGCTGGGAAAGACACCAGTCCACCCAGAACAGGATTGAGATTCCCATGGCAATTTTCATGCAGACCAATGGGCCAAAATAAGACACTGGCAACTTCTGATCCCAGCAGCTCAGGGTTGGCTTGCCCTGCCAGAGTAACCTAGAGGTAAAGGTCTTTTATTCCGTTATCATTTCAATTGCCCTGAGCCAGCTAGTCCCCCAGGATTTATTCTTACATAAAAGAATTCAGAAACTACTGAGAGAATAAGAAAAAGAAACCTTGAACTCCCAGAAGAACAAAGGACTTAAGATGTCTCAGATCAGTTTTGTTTGAAGCCTAGGAAAGTTAAGTCACAGCAAAGTTAAGAGGCTGAAACAAAGCAGCAATGATTGGACATGCAGGCTTTGAAAGGCTGATTTCATTATCACTGACTAATACCCAGCACTCCAAAAACCATCACCTAGAAGATGTCTGACAGCTGCTCCTTGAGCAGCAATACCATTTATACCTTTCAGTATGTGAGGCTAGGGACCAGCTCACCCAGAAATGTTGCTTACAGGGCCTGAGTTATCATTTCAATTCCAGCCCAAACAAGTATGGACAGAAGGGTAGAGCTTTTGTAGTCTGGATGAAATGGGTCCCTACCTCATTCTCAAAGGGTATAGAGTTCTCACTACATTTGCAACTGCTGCCATGAGCTGAAAGAGAAATCAAAGGCTGCCTAGATCTTCCACAGTGATTTCTTGCCTTGGACCCAGAAAAAAAAAATCAGGATCCTCTGATCTTCTTCACCATCACTCACTGTGTGGCTAGGTCAGATGTTGTCTTGAACAATGCTTGGCCTTATAGGGTAAACCTTGCTCTCAATAATGTCACATGACACAGCATGGACCTTGGCTGCCGTAGGTTCCTCTGTGTAGTGTCCTGCCTCTTTGTTCTCCATACTCAATGCGGGACCTACAGCAGAGTGAAGTTGTTGGCAGCTTATGAAGAAGAAACTTTTGTCCAAGGTGATGGGAAACTGGAGCTTACTAAAATAAGCCGTGGTATCCCTCAATTATTCTCCTTCTAGAGGGTCAGTTCTAACCTTGATGATGTCCCTTGCAGAAAGTCCTTGCCAGCCATTCAAAAATCCCTTCTCCCAAGGAAGTGAACATCTGTACTGCGTGCAGACAACACGTCCAGGATGTGGAGACCCTTCAGAGATTCCCTCAGATCCTCTCACAAAACAGGAAAATCTCTTTCCACACTCACTTCTAGCCAGGGGATAACCAAAGACCCAGTGCCTTCCCATGGAAAAATCTTTCTGCATGACAAGAAAGCTGTTGGGAAAGTCAATGGCCCCTGGAGAACTTCCTGACTTTGAACTTCCAATCCTTCCCACTCCTGCT